TAATGAATATTTAAAAGATGAAAATTTATATTAATCTATTGAAAAAATTGTTCATGTAAAAAAAATGTATTTTAGTTAATTTTGTATATTGGTGTTTACAATTGAAGAAATATTTGAAAAATGTCGATTAATTAATGAATAAATTATTATATTAATTTACTTTCAATAATGCATTGTTATATGATTATTAAATATCAATTTAATTTCAATTTTCTGTATTAAATATAGACATAAATTGTCATCCGGAAAATTCCATCTCATTTTTAGGTGAATTAAACTAGAAAAATATATGCAAACCACAGTTTATTTTAAATCTATTTTTTTATTTCATTTCTTTTGTTTATCCATAGTAATAGCATACAAAAAGCTTATGTCTTCTGTTGTTTAAGATTAAATAAAAATAAACAAATAAATAAATATAATGTAATATTATGATATTTATTATCTTCATAAATATTATTAAGCTTTCAGTATCTTAAACTTGATTAATCACTGAGATTTAAACTTAATGACGTTGTATATGTGTTCCCATTATTTCATTTAAGACCATAAAATCCTTTAAATCTATTCTTCTCTGTTATCCTTTTCTCGGATTAACTTTATATAATGAACAACTTAACACGTAAGACACAATAACAGAACGCAGCGACAGCGATAACTATTTGAATTCAAAAAAATAATGAGATACGCGACACTAGAAAAATTGTGCACGTTATTACTCTGGTTATTTATACTCAAATTAAAATTTAATTAAACTTTTTTTGTTATTGCTATCTTTGAAATAAATTCTTTTACGTTTTGCAATAAATAAAATTAGGCACAATAATTTTTATCAAGAGAAAACTTTATAATATGGAGGTCATCATAAATAATAATTTATTTAAGTATTACAATTTTATTATTAAATGTTCAAATACCTATCTCTAGGAATTTATGTGTAACTTATGAGTTGAATCTAGTATCTTTTATATTTTATTAAATATTAACATGATTTATTTTGTATCTTGTATCTAAATACAATTTTTAAAGTTTATTTTTATTTAATCACCTGTTTTGCGGATAACAATCAAAACGAAATTATCAATCGTAGATGTTATATTTTTTATGTAATTAATAAATAAAATAGAGCTGAATAATGATTCAGTATTATTATTATTGGAACAATTTAAGTTATAATATCAATAGTTTTAATGATACGCCATGTATAATGAATGTGATTAGCTTATATATAGCTATATGGAGACATATTACATAATATATTAATAGCGTATAAAATATACAGATATATATGCATACATGATGAAGTTTATGATGTTCATTGCGTTTATCGATAGCTTCCTTTTCTTATTCGATTTTTGGATTCGGGTTTAGGACCATTAAATAGAGTGTTATTTTTATTATGTGATTATAATTTCAATATTTTATCGAGTAAAAACAGATTTAAATTAGTTTTTGTCAATAAAAATTATGTTAAATTATATTTTATGTTAGTTATGCCACATATACATATGTTGTAATCTCATATAAAATATTCTAAGTAAATATTTATTGTAGATATATTTTAAACAATTTTTGGGCAATAATTTCATAGTTTTAAATATTGATAATTACGTCGCTCATAGATAGTTATGCGAATGAATTGTTAAAAACGTAAAGAATTTATGTTTTGGTTTGCAATATTTTTTTTTCATCCATGTCGTAAATCATAAAATTGAAAATCTTTAAAATCTTTATGCAAAAGTAAACAAAGGTTATGTGACAAAGAAAAAAAACAGTAACTCACAAAATCGTCACATGTGAGAATATTTTTAGGATTGTACATTTAATAACTGTTTTGAATAGGAAAAATATTACCCTTAAATAATAAGGAAATACGAATTTAATGTATGACATTAAGTGTCTGAAAATTTGTATTAAGTATAACTGGTAACTGATTTAACTAATAAAATTTTATCAGTAACTTAAAAAATCAACAGTAATGCAACTTACTTACTTTACCAAAATGCATAATTTTAACCTAAACATTTTATAAAAAAAATTGTGTATTAAGTATAACGCAGGTTGAAAATTTAATACATATTCGATTATTATAGTATAACGATTAGATAATCTGCAAATACCTTTAGTTTATAAAATTATAAAGATTAAAAACAATTTATTTTATAATTTAGAAAAGTTTACAAATTTTGAAAAAAATATATTCGTGATAACTAATAAGTATAGTTCAACTTAAAATAGTTGAATATATAAAGTTGTAAATTTAAATTTTGCGAAAGTTTAGGTTTGATAATTAATTAATTTGTTACTGAAGAGATGTAAGCGGGCGAACAGCTTAAAATGTCAACAAGGTATAAATAATTATATTATGAGGTTATTTATAATATTATTTTATACGAATTATTATCAAGTGTAAGAATTATTGTTTTATTTAATAGGTTCTCATATATTATAAAACACAATCTTTTAATGTATAATGATGCAATACATTATGTGTTGTGTATACTTAATGTTTTACTGTAGTTTTTTTTTACGAATTCTTTTAAACCATAAAGGTTTTTTATTAATTAATTCCATGATATAAATCCAATGAATTTTGCTGATTTATTTAATTTATACTAAGTTACCTATTTTGTAAATAAACCGTATTTTAAATGACTTTAAAAATACCATTTTCTATAATATATATATGTATGTTAGGTACATTAAAGTTCTCACTCGTAAATTTTCTGGTGTAATTACACAAAAAAATGAAAACCATTTACAACGTGCGATGAATTTTCATTAAGTTTCTTTATTTCGTAAAAAAAAAAAAAAAAAAAATTTAAAAAAAAATCAGTGATAAGAAAACTTTGTATAATATATTAATGTTTTATTAGAAATCTAGACGAAATGTCAAACAGTAATAATTATTTAACCTAGATCTGGTATACCGTAGACCAGAGTCAAAGCTCGAAGTTAGTGACCCGCGTAATTTATACGCTTGTGTATGGAATTGAATGCTTTGGATCGCATCAGTAAGTTTCTATCTCGCATTATGCGTTGGACAAACGCATAAGATACCCAAACCACGTGATGGCTGCACATATTAAACGCACTTGACCAATATAAAGTACAACGTTTATACGATTTAATTTACAATTTAACTTAGTGTCAGATTTTCAGTAACGCCGCAGATGGACGAGTAGAGATGTTTTATTATAAGAATTACTATAGATCGAACCTTTATTTTTCCATGTTTTTCTTAAACTAAAATTGTTATGTATAATTGTATAAATATTATTGTATAATAATAAATTATCTAACACTTTACGTTTTTTAGGAGCAAATTATGAGTAAATAAATCATCCATACGTTATATTACCTACGAGTCATAAATTTTCATATTATTAACTGTTGTATATAGATTAATAAATTGTCTAATAAAGGATTTAAAATCAACGAAACTACTTTCAATATAATCTTTGATATTAAAATATGATGATTAATAATTGTTTATAAATTTCTTTAGTTCAACGTAAGAGTTTGTTCACGAATGGCTTAGTTTTGAAATAGATTAATATTAATTATAACTTTAAAATTAAGTTCATTGTATTAATATACATTTTAAGTGCTAGTAGGTTTTGAGAAGTTTGTTGATATAATGATGGCTATAGTTGGTGACTGATGTCAAGGAAACGCATTAGGTCACCCATTGTTCAAAGTTGGTGAACTGAAAAGACTGCACATCGTATAGGCACAACCACCATAAGCTAAGGAATCTTGACCCTTTAAATATATTTATTTTATTGTATAAATATAATAATTAAATTACTCATACCCATTTATACTAATTATCAATTAAGTTAAAAAAACATTGCTTTGTGACTAGTAAGATGAGCGGCCATGATAAGATAACTATGTACTATAATGGATGAACTGTGGCGTTATTTGAATATTTCAGCAATCATACAAATTATTTAGCTATCGAAAGCATACTAGTTATGCCGTTAGATTGTAAAATCGATGTACTGACATAATAAAAATTCTACAATTTTGGTAAATATTTCGTAAAATAAGCGTTATTTTTTAGTTTTCAGTTATGTATGATAAAAACCGATACTTGAAAATTATACTCTCGTCGAGTTATTGATTTTTAATTGATGGTTAAGCTTGAAGCAACAATTCAGTAACAATATAATTATTGAAATCCAAACAAAAAATGTTGCATATGCATTAATGTAATTCAAAGAAGCTATTGATAATTATATTATTGAGTAAATTTTCCGTGAAACTTTTTAAAAAAATTAAGTGATTTTCACTTATATATTAGTATTATCAGTATAGAAATATAAATTTATTAAAATAATTTATACGTTATTTAGGTAGTAGATAAGAAGTTATTTGAAATATCCGTAAGTCCAAAAATTAAAATTCAATTTTTTTATCATGTAATTTTAAAACAACAATCTATTGTATAATGTTGTAGATGTAAATGCATATTATGACCAATATAAACTTGATAGGGATGTCTATATAAATTTTAATTTATTTGTATATTTTAAATATATTTACCTAAAATAAAGATAGATATAAATGTATATTATTAAACTTGTTTAAAAATTAAAAAATTAAAGTTATTTGTTTATTTTTTTAGAGCACATGATCGGTAAAAATTAAAGAAATCGTTATAAAAATGAAGACAAATAGCACTTATAGAAAATTTAATATACTAACATATTATTAGATAGCATAGATATTATAAACAATACAATCAAATTCACGGAGTTCAAATTTTTAAATTTATAAGACTGCTAAAGATACTAATAATATATTATGTAATTATATATTATCATTAGGGCTCGGAAGTTATAGGAGTTAAAAAAGGCAAAATATGCATGCAAATATGCACAAAAAAATTGTAAAATATGCATGAAAATATGTTAAATATGCAAAATAAAATTTATTAAATATGCAAAAAAATGTACTACGTATATACAAAAAAAAATATTTTTTATGTTTTGGCTTGTATTTTGTGTTTGGTGGATTGTAATTTTTTCAATCTAAAAATATACATAGAATAAAAGTTATTTGAAAAATTATATTAATTTTTTTTTTAATTCATTAAACATATAGATTATTGTAACCGTCATACCCGTAAATGTATTGCATTGAATAACCAGAGCTTTTTTGATATTTTCTATCTCAAACGAACGACGGTTGTCTGTAAGTACATTTTTGTAGCGCGAAAAACTTCTTTCAATATCCGATGAAGTTATGGGTGCGTATTTAAAGTGTGCCAAGTCATTCCCATTTAAGTCTTCTGGTAGTCCTTCCATTGACGTTGCTTCACCAGTTAAAATGCTTGATATTTTTTTTAAATCATTAAAACCACAGTTTTTTTCCAAAACATTTTTTAATTTTTCTTTGATTGCAGTGCCTGCCTTGTCAATAATGTGCTCTAACTTATTTTCGACGGATTTCACTGTCGCTATTGACTCATGTAACGGGAGTTTTTGTTTTTCGAGTTGTGTTATTGTTGTCGGTAAAAAACCATAATTTACATGAATGAAAGTTAAGTTCATTTCCACAGAACGGTCACTTACAATGTCTTTAGCTTCTCTAATAGAAACCGCATCGCTTGAATCTAGAAGTTGTAAAACTTTGTTTATTTCTTTAAAATATTGACAGTAATATGAAGCTGCTTGTAGCCATGTCCCCCAACGTGTTAGTATGGGCTCCGGCGGAAGTGGAATTCCAGGAGCTTCAGTTTTAAATAATATAGTACGAGACGGTGCTTTCAAAAATACTTGTTTTACCCTCGATATTAATTTATCTACCTTTGGGAAATGACTACGTATTTCTTCTGCTATTCTATGCATTCCGTGAGCCAAACATGTGACGTGTATCATTTTTGAATATAATGCTTTAATAGCTGTACCAGCTTTTTTCATATACGGAGCCGCATCACTTACAAATAAAAGTACATCATCGTGCCGGATTCCATCTGGCCACAAAGTAAACATTGATGCATCAAATAGTTTAGCTATTGTTGAAAAATTAACTTTATCAAGAACTTCGGATGTCAATAAAAATATGTCACCAGGTTCATCTACCAATAATGTTCCCACTATTACGTTCGCAATAAATCTACCTTCGACGTCAGTACTTTCATCGATAGATACCCAAATTTTATTCCCAACAACATGTTTTCTAATTTTATCGATTGTTTCTTCGTAACATTCATTTAAATACGTTTTTCTTAAAGTAGATTCACATGGAATATCTTTAAGGGTATATTTTTCTAGGAATGACCGAAATTCAGTATTCATAATTTTATTAAGAGGAATATTAGCACACATCATTGACTTACATAAATCTTTTGAAAATTCACATTTTTTGGAGGTACTTGAAGAGAAAAACTGTTGTGTAGTTGATACTTTATTCATATTATTTCGTTGACGATTTAACAACCGCTCATGTTTATTCGTTTTTACATGTTGAGTAACTGTAAATCGTTTTTCGCAATTCACTTTAACTTCACAGATCTTACAAAATAGAATAGTACCGTCTGTTGAAAAAACATTTTCGCCGAATTCTAAAACGAATTTTCTAGTTTGTGAAATTTTCGGCATATTATAATTTTTTTAAATATTTAGGTAGATTTTACAGAGCACGGACGAATTTATTACACGAGACAGTTCACACACAACTGACGGGGTAAATATACTTGCCCAAATAATTCAGTCATACACCTATAAATACACTCATATATAGAACAAATCGCTATTAGATTAACGATAACGTCGATAGCAAAGACGTTAGTGCAATAAAGATAAATACGCTCCGCTGTAGGTACATGATAATTTATCATCTATGATTTCTAAACATTAAATTATTAAATTTGTGAAGGCAAAAAAAAAAAAATAATTTAAATTAGGGTATTTAATATGATTTATTAATTTATCAGTAACAGTACTATTTAAGTTTGTTTTCTGTAGAAGTTTATTAAACACTCTTATTACACATATATAATAAACTTAATAATAATTTATAAGCAGAAAAAATCGCAATTGACATTATTCTGTAACACATCAAAATATGTATGATTTAATTTACAAGTTAATCACTAAAAATCTGGAGATAATGTGAGGGAGATATTCGGTTAATAGAGACCAAAAAAATTCTTTTAGTAAGAAATAAATATTTTTAAACATGACAAGGTATTTATTATTGATAAAAGGTTAATAATTTAGGTTGAATGATACAGTGAATAATTCAATATAATCTAAAGTATGTATCAGTTTTCTTTTTTCTTTACTACATCAAAATAAATAATATATTATAATCGCGATAATTACTATAAATATTATTAAATTTTAATTGTCTGTAATATAATATAATAAATAAATAATTAGGTAATTAATACTTGTATTATATAGATTAGATTAGGTATATTATGATGTGTATACTTTTTCAACTACAGCTTTATTATACATATTTTCTGACTGTATAACAATGGTTTACTTGTTTACTAATGGGTGAGACGTCTCATATAATTAGATACAAAAATAAATTTTACTAGATATAAATAAAATGATTATACCTACACTTAAAGTGTTAAAAAAAATTATAAATGAAGAAATGAAAAAATACAAGATAATATTTTTGGAAGTACTCATTCATTATCTCCAATAGTATACAATTTTTAGAAATATTTTTTTAAATAATTTAAACATATTCAAAATCAATATATAAAAAAAAAAAAAATAACAAAATATTTGATATTTTTTTATACTCATAGAAATTATGTTTTTATTTATAGATTTTAGTTTTAGGCTTCAAAGGCAATAATTATGACTTATTAGTCTGAAGTCAGTTTTTACTGTGGGGAAGGTTCTATTTTGGAACACGTATGTATGTGGCAAAAATTTGTCACTAAAAACCCGAATTGGCTTGGTTACCCATCCGGGAGCTAGTGACACCGGCCGATGGTTGACCTCAGAACTCATTAACGACTGTGGCTAACCACGTGCCACACTAAATCACAGTTATTATTTTTTTATATATTTAAATAACTGCATATTATGTTTTTTATTATATTTTCTAGAGTAAAATATTTTTCTAAGAATCTCAACATATAAATCAAATTAATTTGAAAATATCAAACACTTTACTTTCATTTGTGAATTAGTTTCTTATAAATATTTAAAGTTTTAATGATCGGAGTAGATGACACATTAGGATTGGTAAATGTAGGTTTACTAAATCGTTCATAAAATTATTAAATATATATATTAAAATGTTAATAAATTAATTACTCAGCTGAAATTCAATTTTTATTTATTAAAAATATCACAAAAAAAAAATTGATTTATTCTTTAAGTTAAAAATGTATACTGTCTTTTAAAAACTTAAAAACTAAAAAAATTTGATAAAAACAATGTTGTAATTAATAAATATGAGTAATAATTTAAAATGTAAAAATAAGTTTCCATAAACGTTAATATTTTTGAAAATGAGTATTTATTTTGAAAACAACTACTTTTTACGCTATAAACTTTCTATTATATGCATTGAATATATATTAGGCTAACGTGAATGTAAGTCTAGTGTTATAATCCTGTTTATTTTTTTTTTGTAACATTTCTATGTAAATTATAAACAAATTTATTTTCATTTATGTAAATTTGTTTGTCATAATTTGTTCCCATGATTTATTTGTATTTTTATTCAATATTTTAAGAGATAGGGTGTTATTATAGTGGGTGATTTTTTCAAATTATTTTTTTTTATATCATTCAAATTCATGTTATTAAATTTATAAGTTATATATTACCGGCATCACCATATTGAGATTTTATAAAAATAAAAATTGGGGCGTACTATTTTGTACTCTGTTAGATTCAATTTTTACTGCAAAATTAATTTTTGTACTACATTATTTATAAATATTAAATACATTTTGAACTTAAATAAAAACCAAGTATACTCATGTATTCAATCAGTTTAATTTTAAAACGATGTGCAGTACGAATCGTTGATTTAATATCAAGGCCGGAGATAGTATAACGTCGTAGAAAGGTTATATTGTTTATTTAGAACGCAATTGGTGGCCACTTAGGTGATAATACGATAATTTATTGACGTACGCATTTGCTGGTAGCTTTTATTTAGATAGAATACAATAAAATAAAAATATATTAATAAAATATAACACTTTTTGTTGAAAATAGTGGTTTTTAGTTTTAAAATTTTATTGTTAAAATTCAAAATAATGTATCTACCTATTATTTATTATGTTTAATCGATTAGCCCTATATATTGTCTACATAATATGTGTATATAGAATAGCGACAATAATTATATTTACTAATAATTAGGATCGAGAGAAATGAGGATAAATAAACAATGATTATAAATTTGAAGTGAAAATAAAATAAATATAATAATTAAAACTAAACTAATATACTATATATTGTATAACATTTATATATAATAAAATATGATAAAATAAATATTATATACGTAAGTATTGTTAAAAGTACGTCATATATTTAACTTAAATTAAAAATGAAAAATATAATTTTTTTTCAAAGATGAACACTTAGCCTACATTTTAGGAGGGAAACGGCTATCTGAAATTATATAAGTTTCAAAAATATAGTCGAAAACTTTATCTATTTTGTCGTCTTTTGGTTTGATAGCCATTAAATCATCTGTGAAACAATCCAAGGCTTCTGACGGTGGTAGGTAAGGAAGGCTAAATAAATATTTTAGCACTTTTCCTATTCCAGAACCATATAATTATACCTGTTTGTGCTTTTTTTTCGACGGGAGCCGTTTGGGAATTTATCTGTTCGTAAAACCTTTTTTGATAGGAGCCGTTTGGAAATAAGCGAACAATAGGCGGGAGCCGTTTGGGATCCGATGAAATTTTAAATATAATAAATAAGTATAATTGTATTTTGATATATATATTTTTTTAATAAAATAAAATAACAGAAAAAAAGATAAATATAATTAATACTTACTAAGTATAAGTATATTAGAAATTAGCAATGAATACAATTTAGGCGAAGCAAAATTTTAAATATAATAAATAAGTATAATTGCATATTGATATATATATAAATTTTTAATAATTTACTAAGATATATATTTATATATTTTCTTAAATGTATGTAATGTATGTTTAATATGGGTTTTGGAATAAGATTCATTATTTTTGTTTCTTGGAAACAGATATTTTTATAACAGAAAAAATATTTTTTATCATGGTTGTGTAATGCATAATGTTGAAATTCTATAAAAATGGTTTTATAATATAATTATTAAGTTTAATTTGTTGTAAAATTTAGACATAAATGAAGGTATTTTTTAAGAAAACCACTATTCGTTTAAAATTTAATTTTTTCATAACATTGAAACACTCGTACAACTTTTTTGTTAAATATTTAAAAATTTGATTATTATTGAAACTCGAATAATAATGATCCGGCATGTTCATTAGATTTTACATTTAAAAAAAATATATATTTAATGTTTCAAGTCAATAGTTTGGTTTAATCGTTTATTTATGTTGTAGTAAAAAATGATGAATGATAAAATTGCGATTATTCATAACTGTAGGTTGACTACTCATATAATATTAAACAACGTGACTGATACAGGGTTAAAAATTATTTTATTATTTAAAAATTATGAGTATACGTTAGTTTTTTGAAAGTTTAATGTTGAATACAAAAACATGAAAAACATTTAATTTATTAACAAATTACGTCACACAAATTTATAGTACGATAGAACAGATGGTAACAAAATATAGTTAAAGTTTATAACAAAATCAACGAAGAATTATACGCAGGTTTGTGGTTTGGCGTGGCGCGTTGGATGCTACTAGTCGCGGAATGCGACCGAGAGTAAGTAACGGCCACAGCTACTAGCTCCCGGATGGGTGACCACTCGGGATCATAGTGGTTAAAAACCTTGCCACACATATACACGTGTTTGCTATCAGCCGTAACAAACGTAAAATACAACCTACCGTACCAACCTTACCCCTTACCATAGTTCATAACCCCCACAAACAGCTAATGGCCCTAGTTGCCGGGCTTAAGTTTAATTAAAAAAAAAAAAAAATATATACGTAGGTTATAAATGGGCGATTTGAAGGTGAACTAAAAAGTGTAGCATTAACAAACATTTACGCTTTGAAACTAAGACTGAACTCTTTTTCTCTGTTCATAGCTAATAGCTAATATGACGACTCGGAAAGTTTTTATCGTCTTCAATATTTTAAAATTAACCTTATTCCCGCGGTATTATTTAGCTCATAGATCGTCGACCGTCGTCCGTATATATTTATGATAAATAAATATTAAAATAATTAATGCGTTCGTGTTTATGTGATAATCTACCTGACTGTCGGCGTAGGTATAATATCAATATTATACTCGAACTGATAATTTCACATGATTTATTAAATGCGTTCGACTCTCGGGCGCGCGTGTAACGCGCTTGAATTACGATTGGCCACTGAATAAAGTAATGCGGAAGAGAAATGTTTTCTGCATGTATATAACAATATATAATAATTACATTATTTGTCCGATTTTATTACGGTGATACTAGCCCGACCAAGTAAAACTTAGTCTACGCTTTTCTGCATATCCACATTAAATCTATCGTTGGGTTTTATACGTGTACAGTTCTAATTGTGATGAAGACTACGGCAAGTATAGTGGCGGTCGCTAAAATGATCGAAGCCGGGGTGTTTGGATCCGACAGT